ACCGTGTCTATTGCCTTATCAAAGAAGCTCTGGTAGCTTAGTAGTTACAAATCGGGCTGTGAACCGCAAAATCAGCGGTTCCAAACTACCAGCTGTTCCGCGGGAGAAAGATGAGGCTTTCTGCTCCCATAAAGATTTACAGCCTCAGAAACCCTGTACAAGGTCGCTGTGTGTCCGAACTGACTCCATGGAACACAACAACATTGCCTTATCTGTAGTGACTCCATGGGGCACAGACAAGACTATTGCAAGTCTTGCCTGTATTTTGATTTCACACCTTCAGGTGATATAAACGGTCAGGGTGTAAACCTCACTCAGGGCGGGGGTGCTGACTCAGCAGCTGGCTGCCTCCTTAAGTATTTCAATTCCTGCTTAATCTTTCTCCCATTTTACAGTTGGGCAAAATGCAGATGAACTCCTGGGGTAGAGCAGTAGGATCAACACTGGACTTCAAATCACAAGGTCGGCAGTTCAAACCCACCAGGTGCTCTTCGGGAACCCTATTCTGGGTCACTGTGAGTGGGAACCGACTCAATAGTACTTAACAACGAAAGTGCAAAAAGAGCAAATACTTTATGGGGGTGGACCATCAAAGCCTAATACCAGAAAACAGAGGGCACGGTCAAAACCTAGAGAGACCCCGCCCTTCTAGCTAACCACCCCCAGTTCCGCGCCCAACTTCCGGCGAGCAAGCCCAGATTCCGGTTCCGGTGGCGCGTGCTACAAAAGTCTGCGCCCAGGAGGTGGTCTCCCCTTTTCCGGAGTCAGGTGTGTTGGTAAGAGTTTTCCTTTGCTTTTTCCCTTCCCCTCCCCCAGCCTTTCGAGGCAGCGCTGCTCAGGTGAACGCTCCCCGGCGGTGGCCCTCGGACCGAGGAGCTCTGGGGTGTGTTGTGCTGGCTCTTAGCATTGCAGAGCCGTGAGCCTTGGCCACAGCGCATTAGATGGAGAAAACCGTACTGGAGCCCTGGAACCTCATTTTCAGGCTATCCTTGAATCTGGCTTAGGCCCCCGAGTGGGAAGAGTAGGACGCCCGCTCCCAACAACAGGGATGCCGTTACTAGACCGACTGGTTCCACCATCTCCCAGCCAAGTGGTCTTAGGCAAGTCCTCTTTCTGAGGGCCCCAATTGGCTTATATGTGGATGAAAATTAGTGTACCTGATTGCTCCACTGGGTTATTTATTTAAATAGTTACTGTTATTAAAAAAAGGATCTCTGGTAGCGTAGTGGTTACGAATCGCACTGCGAATGTCTAGATCAGCGGTTTGAACCTACCAGCTGTTACGCTGGGGAAAGATGGCGTTTTCTGCTCCCGTAAAGATTTACAGCCTCGGAAACCCTGTGTAGGGTCGCTAGAGATAACTGGAGTAGTAAAGTCCCATCAAGAGCAGTTATGAGGTTCACAATCAAGAAAAATGTATGTCAGATTCAGCACAATGTCTCATAAAATGCTTAGCAAACTGGGCTTATTAATTGCTAAGAGTAATGGGTGTTTGTAGTAAAAAAAAAATAATAATCTTCTAGACGTTGTTTGTGGGTATATAAAGTCATATAAGGACCTCTGGTAGCATAGTGGTTACGAATCGGGCTGCAAGCCACAAGGTTAGCAGTTTGAAACTACCAGCTGTTCCGCTGGAGAAAGGAGGCTTTCTGCTTCCGTAAAGATTTACAGCCTCGGAAACCCTGTTCAGGGTTGCTATGGGTCGGAACCGACTCTACGGCACTTAGCAACATATATAAAGTCAAATATGCTTGTTAAGTGCCATCGAGTTGATTCTGACCCATAGCGACCCTATATAGGGTTTCTGAGGAGCAGCTGGTTAGCTTGAACCACCGACCTTGCCATTCAAACGACTTTGCAGTCTGATGCATTAGCCCACAGCTCCATACCAGGACTACATCATACATGCTAATGTATGTTTTTACCATATGTTAAGGTCACAGTTGGAATCCTGGTGTGCTGCTTTGGGTTAACTTGCCAGACTAAAGCCTATGGAACTACAAGGTTGTTGGCAGTTCAAGCTCACCAACTGCCCCTCGGAAACCCCATAAGGGTCGCTATGGGTCAGAATCTACTCATTGGCACTAACAAGCATACAGCCAAAAGGTTGGTTTGCATGTACCTGGTTTTCTGCTCCTATATAGACTGTTAAGTGCCATAGAGTTGGTTCTGACGCAGCGACCCTGAATAGGGTTCCGGAGGAGCAGTTGGTAGGTCTGAACCACTGACCTTGTGGTTTGCAGTCTAGTTCAGTGCTGGTTCCACATCACCACCTAACAAAGATCACAGTATTCTACTCAGTGGTTGGACCATGCTTTAGTCATTTGGATGGTTCCCAAGATAGCACTTTGCACATGACGATTTAGCCAGTCCTGTGACTTAGTACTCTTTCATTCAAAGCGTTTTTATGTTTGTTATCCTCAATACCCTAGGATAATAACCACTTTCAGGGCATGAACAAATTCTTGACTGAACAGAAATGTAAATGCATATAACTGATTGAAAAATGCATACACGCCAGGAGGATTCAAGGCCCCTGGGAAAAAGTTGTCATCGATAAGTGTCGATGAGTTGGTTCTGACTCAACAGTGACCCTACATAGGCTTTCCAAAGAGGGGCTGGTGAACTTGAACTGCTGACATTTGCAGTCCAGTACATTAACACATAGCACCACACCAGGGCGCTGGAAAATACGTGGTTATTGCGGAGTGCCATCTAGTCGTTGCAACCCTGTGTAGGGTTTCTGAGGAGAGACTGGTGAGCTTTGAACCACGGTTCAAAGAGACTTTGCAGTCTTTGTACCTACAGCGCCATACTAGACTTGCAGAAAATAGGTTCGTGAACCTTTTTTCTGCCCAAATTTATAACATTTACAGGCCATACAAAGTTATTAACGTGAAAATTGTTAAGTACCATGGAGTCATTTCCGACTCATAATGACCCTGCACAGGGTTTCCGAGACTAAATCTTTAGGGGAGCAGAATGCCGCATCTTTATCCTGCAGAACCGCTGACCCTGAGGTTGGCAATGCAACTCAACCACACTACCAGAGCTTCTTGAAAATTAGCCTATTATATTTGATCAAACATTTAATTAACTCACCCATAATGTAATAGCTTGCAAGGCCAGCAAGCTCACCAGCTGCTTCCTATACAGGGTTGCTATGGGTCGGAACCAACTCACTGACTGGCACTTAACACTGTGACCGCTGGAACTGCGGTTATCTTACTTGGCCGGATGTTCCCCAGCCCTTGTTTAGAGAATAAGGGACCAGGTGTGGAACTGGTAAAGCAAGGTCACTGCCAGTCTTGGCTCTCTTACTGCCCAGGAAGCAGATGGTGAGAATCTGAGTTAAAAGGGATTTTAATGTCCACACCCTTGTTCCAGGGGGTCAGGGAAAGGTGTTAATGAAGAAAGATGTGCTCTTTGGAAAAAGCAGTTATGTCATATCATTTGATTAGGTGTACCTGTAAGTGCTGGAACAGACCCTGAAGTGAGAATTGAGTCATTTCAATTCTGTCAGTTGAAGAAATGGTTTCTTTTGTTTTTCTCAACACCTGAGGCTTTTCTGTAAATAACTCTTGGACTCAGGCCCTAACTCAAATGAAGCTAAGGCTTTTTCTTTGCCCTCATCCACCCCCTGGAATTATACAGGTGTTTCCCTCCCACTTGTTAAGTGCTAGGGGTCAGTCCCAACTCCACCCTGTTGAGGGTCTCCAAAGTTTTTAAATCTTCAAGAGACCAGAAAGCCTCATCTTTCTCCCCTGAGCAGCTAGCTAGTGGCTTCAAACCACTGACTATGTGGTTCAAAGTCCAGTAGTCTAGTACTTACTTTATGGAGCCACCACACTCCCTAGTTTAATAATCCTTTGCAACTCAAATATTCAAAGGTATGTTAATATAAAGGTATTCTGTTTGTTCTTTAGCCTTAACTGCTGTGGATCAGACACAACGCATACTCAAAGCGGCCCTGTATAGGATCTCCAAGGAGTAACTGGTGAGTTGAACCGCCAACAAAGCTCCTCTATAGTCTTTGATATCAATTACCAGTCCTCCTTTCCCTCAAGTCGCCCAGGATTTGCAGTGTCTCAAAAAAAACTTTAGTTTTCAAAAGAAATGGCTCACGCAATTGTGCAGGCTGGGAGACAAGTCCCAAATCCGAAGTTCAGAGATGAGTCTGGAGGAATCCATCTATGTCGGATCAGGTGCTAAGGAACCCGAGTCAGCAGGTCAGGCAACAGACTGAGGAGATGTGAAGTGAGGTGATGAGCCTCAGGTGTTCTAGGAGCTGGAGGTCAGACCTCATGAGCCAGATGAGAGCTTCTGGGCAAGAGTGGAAGCTTTTCCAAAGCAGTCTTCTAAATTGGGAGTCAGGCCATTCCCCCAAGGGAAACTAAGGTGGGGGCATTTTTAATACTTAGTTCCAATGTAATTTTTACTCCTTAGCAAATCATTTAAAAAATGGGTCTACAGTTGCAGGTATATTAAATGCCCTGGAGTCCAACCCATAGCAACCCTGTATAGGGTTCCCAAGGAGCAGCTGGTGAGCTTGAACCACCAACCTTGTGGTTCTAACCAAGTTTGCTGTCTAGCTCCTAGCCACCCACAGAATGGAGAAGTTGGGCTAGAAGGGCCAGAATAAGTAATTGACTGCTTTGTGAGATCAAATTGACAATAGCAATTCAGAAGGCTACAACTTGAACATATAATCACTGTCGTTGAATTGTACGTGTAGAAATTGGTTTACTGTGTACATTATACCCAACAGAGACTGAGAAAAAAATGTTTGAAAGAAAAGCCTTGTTAAGGTTGGAAGGCGGGTAGAACTTGGTTTTGAATCAGATCCATAAGATAAGAGCAATGTTAATAAGTCTTTGTGGATGTTTGTCTTTTGTGCCTACAAATTTAAGACATTCTCTTCTGTAGTTCCAGAATGGAGACTGTCAAGTACACCGAGACACAAGGAAATAGGGATGATGCTCAAATAAAGTCACCTGATGAGGCAATGCCCGTTGAGCCCAAAGTCATACCGGCTCCCCTGGTCCAGGCTTCATTGGGTCCTGCAGGACCTTCACCAAAGAGCCTTGATGAAGATTCTGTGGAAGACATCCCACGGAGAATTCCCCCCAACCCTGCAGCCTACCAGCAGAGGTTCCGCCAGTTCCGCTATGAGAGTGCCCCTGGGCCCAGGGCTGTCCTCCAGCGTCTCCAGGAGCTTGCTGAGCTGTGGCTGAGACCCGACATCAACACAAAGGAGCAGATTATGGAAATTCTGGTGCTGGAGCAACTGCAGGCCATCCTGCCAGAAGAACTTAAGGGCCAGGTGCGCAGATTCCGCCGCGGAGTCAGAATTACTGGCTGAATCAGCTAACATGCGAAAAGTAAGCCAGAGTTTCTGTGATCCAACTGCAGCGATGAACCTGTTTTCTTGAAGCTTTCCTTTGACTGTCAATAAGAAAAATCAATCAAAACCTATGTCTACCTCTATTTGAGTGAGGCAGTCTTAGTTTCTCAGACTGACCTCTAGGAGATGTTTCTCAGCCTTCTTTGCACAGTGATTGTATTTTCTATGCTGAATATCTCCTTGTTGGCACTTTAATATGCTTTAATATATTGCCTTTATGTAGCCAAAGAGTAATCTGCTTTAAATTTCAGAACTCTTAATTCTCACTGGGAGCATGAATGCAACCTTCTGTAACCCCACTATATTCATAAAAAATGATTAAAGTAATCAGTAATCAAGTTTTGTGGTGACTGGTCAATTTAATTTAGCTTCTTAGCATTAAAAAAAAAGCAAGATAGCTATCAGGTATTGTGTGCCCTCAAGTCGATTCTGACTTACAGTGACCCTGTGTAAGATTTCTAAGGAGCAGCTGGTGAATTCAGGAGTTAGGCCTAAGCTAAACGCTAAGAACTATGACTGTTCACTGAGAAGTAGAAACAAGTTTGGCTTTTATTTTTAAAATCAACATAATGGAGAAAACTCAATCATAAAAGGGTAATAATAAAACAGGATCACAAGAGGTAAGGGACTGGGCAGAGCTGTTTAGGTGTGGTTTTTTTTTCCCTCCATTTCCACGCCTCTGTTCCCACTTGTCCTGTAAGAACTCACTAGGATGCCATCCGACCATATGCTGCCCTGCTCACCTCACAACATTGATGTCATCCTTGCTTTGCTGTGTGGAGATTTACCCTTTGACAGCTGAGACAGATTAGTAGCTGTGGTTATGACAGACACACAGAGTAAACAGCAGCTGCTTCTACCTGGCCCAGCCCTGAGGATCCTTCCTGCCTGGCTCTTTTTGGATTTATAGGTCCACTCCTATAACTTAAACTAAGCTTTGGGGATAAGGGATGGTTAGCTATGTGCTAGAACTCATTATATTGATGTTTGGTACTTCCCATGCCTCTTACTGTTCTAAGTGCTAGAATACAAATATCAAACCCAGTTTAAAGGAAATTGAAAGTACAAAGCCATGAAAAGTCAGTTGGCTAGAAATGGTAGCGTAAATTTTCCTTTTGGTATCTTTTTTTTAATTGTGAACTGAGTGATAGTTTATATGGGAGAACATTGGCTTTACACCATTTTATTGCAATGATCATGAATTCAAGTGTGCAAGTAAGTGGCCCCTCCCCAGGTTGACCAACAAACTTTTAACCTTAGAGGTTTTATGACAAGACAGCTAAGGTTTCTCAATCTTGGCTCTCTAGATTTGGGGCCAGAAAATTAGGTATTATCAGGGCTTCCCTGTTTATCATAAGATGTTTAACAGTATCGCTTCATGTTGAAGCAAGAATGCTGTAGGAAGAGAAATAATAAATTTTATATTCCGTTTATGTGTTTGGATAGTACCGCCTACTCTGGCAAATCTTAAAAGTCTAGTGTGAAGGATCTTTAACTATTAGAACACTATTGGGGTGACTTTACAGATCCGTGTTGGAAGAAGTGCAGCCAGAGTGCTCTTTGGAGGCCAAGATGGCCAAACTTCATATCTCATACTTCAGACATATTTTCAGAAGGATATCACGTTTGGTAAAGTGGCGGGTCAGAGAAGAAGAGGGAGACCTGCAGTGAGATGGATTGGCAAAATGGCAGCATCAATGGGCTCAAGCATGGCAACAATAGTGAGGTTGGCCCAGGGCTGGGTAGTGTTCTGTTGCATAGGGTCGCTATGAGTCAGATCTGACTCGATGGCACCTAACAACAACTGAGGATCAGAATCTGCAGTACCCCTCCATGTTTCATTTACTCCTAAGAGTTCTGTTGGTAAGTAGTACATTGATGTATTTCACAGATGAGAAAACAGATCCAGCAGTTGTGCATCAATTGGAGCTCGAATCTGAGCCTGGGGTTTCTGTAACCCTGGTCTTGGGGGAATGTTAATTTAATAAACAGCTCAATATGTGCAGGATTGTTCTTTGCTTTTAAAAAAATCTTGAAACTTGAAAGAACATCTCTTAGATTCATTTTGGGGAATGCAGTGGCTCTGTAGGATGGATGCTGGACTGTGAACCACAAGCTTGGAGGTTCGAGCCCACAAGCCATTCTGGGAGAATGATGAGGCTTTCTGCTCCTGCAAAGATTTATAGCCTTGAGTTGGAACTAACTGGAGAGCACTTAACGTACTCATTTAATAAAAAAAAAAATTTTTTTTTGCATGTTGTTGCCATGAAGTTGGTTCTGACTCCTGATGACCATGTATAAGGTTTCCAAAGAGCAGCTGGTAAATTAGAACTGCAGACCTTGTTCAAACAGCTTATGGCCAAGTACGGATCCTGCTCCACCTCAAATAGTTCATAATCATCTCACTGCCCAGAGATTTTTTTAGGATAGAGATAAAAAAGCAAGTATCTCTTTGTAGAAGGGTATAGATGGAAATACGAATTACACATGTGCGACATGTGCAACGTGTACAGGGTCGCTAGGAGTCAGAAGCGACTCCACAGCACATAACATCAAACCTGTAAGGGGAGTCCTGGTGTGGTGCTGTGGGCTAATGTGTCAGACTGCAAAGTTGTTTGAACAGCAAGATTGGTGGTTCAAGCTCAAGCAGCTGCTCCTTGGAAACCCTATACAGGGTTGTTATGGGTTGGAATCGACTTGATGGCACTTAACAACAAACCTGTAAGGAGTCCTAGTGTTGTAGCGGGTTACTCCTTGGACTGCTAACCACAAGGTCAGTAGTTCAAATCCACCAGCTCCTCCACGGGAGACAGGCTTTCTATTCCTGTAAAGATTTACATCCTCAGAAACCTTACACAGGGTCACTAGGAGTCAAGCCCGACTCAACAGCACACCACAGCCACCACCAAGCAAATGTGTAAGGACTCTTGGTGGTGCAGTCATTAGCCTTTTGTTAACTGAAAGATTGGCAGTTTGAACCACCAGCCACTCCATGGGAGAAAGCTATTGCAGTCTGTTTCCATAAAGATGATAGTCTTGGAAACACTGGCATTTCTACTATGTCCTTTAGGGTCACTGTGATTTGGAATTGAATGAATGACAGTTGGCTATGTAAGCAAATGTATACGTGCAGACATGCTATACAAAATAATTATTATACATGTTATATGCAATGGGTTATCTTTTGCTATTGACGATAGAGGTTTTCTTTTTTTTCTCATGATTTTTTAGCAGCTGTATAGTTGTCCTGGAAGGAGCTCTGGTAGTGTAGTGGTTACGAATCGGGCTGCGAACCTTAAGGTCAGCAGTTCGAAACTACCATCTGTCCTGCGGGAGAAAGATGAGGCTTTTCGCTCCCGTAAAGATTTACAGCCTCGGAAAGCCTGTACAGGGTCGCTATGAGTCGAAACCGACTGCACAGCACATGGAAACAACAACAACATAGTTGTCCTGGAGTCGTGGTGTAGCACTGTGGATTAATATGCTGGAATGCAAAGTTGTTTGAACCTCCAGAGCTGCGGTTCAAGCTCACCAGCCACTGCTCGGAAACCCTATATAGAGTCACTATGGGTAGAACTGACTCAATGACACTTAACAACAGCAACATTGTCATCCTGGTGTAGCACTGTGGTTAATGCCTTGGAATGCAAAGCCTGTTTGAACCTTAAGGTCAGTGGTTCAAGCTCACCAGTTGCTCCTGGGAAACCTTATACAGGGCACTATGAGTTGGAACGGACTCGGCGACACTTAACAACAACATGTTGTTGTCAGGTGCCATCGAGTCGGAACCGACTCATAGCGACCCCATGCACAGCAGAACGAAACAATGCTCGATCCTGGGACAACCTCACCACCGCTGCCACCCCCGAGTCCATCAATGATGCCACCTGGCCGATCCATCTCGTTGGAGGTCTTCCTCTTTTTCTCTGACCCTCC